AAATTGGGGTCAAATAGACCCCACGATGCACGAAACGCTCATAAATAAATTGGGGTCCAATTGACCCCACCATGCACGAAACGTAATTTTTTAACGGTGCACAGTAAGGGTTAAAAATCAATTTTTCAAATGAAAGACATTTGTAGAAGAAATGTATGTTTTATTCACAACAAAATAATAAACAGAAATCAATAAAACTAATAAATATTCAAATTTATGGACAAAACATATCACTTTCTTTGAGTTCATGAATACAAAACTTATTGAAAGATAATATTATTTTATGTGATATCAAATGATATCTTTGAAATATAATAGATAAAACTTTTTAAATAAAATTTAATTTAAAAAATAAAATCCATTAAAACACAAAACATTTTAATTTTGTTTTTGTCCAAAACATAAGGAAATATTTAATTCTCAATAACTATTTCATAGACTTTTGTGTCGCAAATAAAACATATTTCAATAAAACTTTCATAACTTTCTTACAAAACAATAAGAAATGAAAATTTCTTAACAAACATTATGAAAAGTTATGTGAATTTCCATACAATGAATTTGTACGACAAATATCCGCTTTTCATAACTATTAAGTGAAGGAAATATTGCTTTTAAAGATAAAAATGAATTTTTATTAATAAAATACTGTATGAATATTAGACCTAAAAAACTCGTAATGCAATTAAACGCCAAATAATTAATTGTTAAAAAATAGGTTCAATTGTCAAAACTTACTGTTAAGTCAATTCACGTCATGTAAAACATAAACCTAATGCTAAAACATTGGACATAATTACGGCTGCAATGAGTGAGTGTTAATAAAGAAACAAAACGGCGACAACTGTTTGGCAGTTAAGCGCCAACAATAAGGGGACACAAAAGGGGTTGAGTTTGTGAGCAATTTGTGTGACATAATTGATGAATGGCTCGCGAAATATACGTTCATATATTGTGATGTGTTTTAGGGTTTGAGTGAAATGTTTGCCACAAATGTATTGATTAGGCGTTGCGTTACTTGAGATGTGAGACACACGTTGAGAGTCCATACAAACCATACAAACAGTGTTTTTCACATTCAAACGCTAGCGAACAGTGAATCCATTGACTCAACACAACAGCGAGAGATGTCTTGAGATTATTATATGTTTTGTTTTAATCACATAATCATTATCTCAAGGCTTTCGATGCGTTCAATAAGAGAGACACGATTTGATTGATTTTGTGTTTCAATTGATGTTTTCAATCAGTTTTTTTCAATTCACTAACAATTGTCTCTAATTTTGTCACATTTTTCTCGCAATCAAAACAATAATAATAATTGAATTATTCGTTAAATATTTGACACATTATTGAAAGCAAAGCAATAAATGTTTGATTAGTTTTCGCATCAAATCATAAGTAATAATATATTTGTTGTCAAAAACGTTAACATATTTTAGTGACCAAAATATGTATATGTGTTGTGAATGTAATTATGGTTTGTTTTGATGCCATCAGTGGTGACCAGCAATGGATGTGTTTGTGACTCGGGATCAAGTGATACCACAACTCATTCAAGACATGTGTTTCTCAGCGATTGTTATCTCATTATAACATGAATTCGCGAAAGACTTCGTCCAGCGGTTCGTCGGCGTTGTTGTCGTCGACGACAATGAATGGCAGAACCAATTGGTCCTCCAATTCGTCTCAATTCTTGACCACAATTGAAGACAACGTCTCCAACGCCTACTATAAGTACGGTCTCATCTGTTCCCGTCATCCGGTGTTTGTCATTGTGTCCACACTTATCATTGTCTCCATCTGTTGCTATCCATTGACTGGTATTCGGTATCTTTTGGGCAATTCTTCTCAAAAGTATATGACATCAGTTGACAACATATTTCCATCGGAAGACACGGCCGGCCAACGACCCCAACGACCCCTTCCCGACGCCAATCCAATCCCCAATTGGGTATTCATTCAAACCCTCTGCCAATTGTTTATCACTTTTATTGAGTGTATTTTGATTTTCGCCGACTTTTAGTTTGCAACGAACCAATCGTTTGCTTTCATTCAACAAATTGTTGTCAAGTCTTCAGTGATTCCCTGGAAAGACAATCTGATTCTTATGGACGCCATTCGGGCGCCGCTCTCGCAGTCATTCAAACTCATGGAAACCATTTCCAACTACCAGTTCCTCAATGGGTATGTCGTCTGACATTCAATTTGTTGATAAATATTTTTAAAATGGTTTACTTCTACAGCGAAAGAGCCGAAAGTCTGAATAACTATTGTTTCCAAATATCGGAACCGATCGCCAAAATGGTCGACAAACAGTCGGCCTCTTATTTGCCGATGTATTCATGTCTGGCGTTAAGTCCGGCCAACATCTGGCAGAACGACATCAATAAGTTCTTAATGGACTCGACTATCATTAAGACGATGTACTCAATCAAAGATCTCGCGTCTCCTCATTCCTCCGGAAGTCTTCGTGATATTCTGTTTGGCGTCCCGTGGATGGAGACCGGCATCAAACGACTCTACGTCCGCACCCGACAGCGAACCATCACTTTTGCCATAACACTAGTGCTGTCGACTCAAAGCCAACAATATATCGACGGTTTGACCGCTTTTTTGAAAGACAAATATTCAGTGAATTCGTTGTCAAACGCCAATCAAACAGACAATGAAACCAATGATGAGGACGAAGAGCTCACTGTCACTCATATTTATTTTCAAAACAAATTCACATTTTCTGATTTTGTTCCTCTTTTGGCCACTTATTTCATGCTATTTCTATACATGTATTTCTCTGTCCGTAAGTTTTGATTTGAATTGTGTTTTCTTTGCATTGATTTATGATTTCATTAATTTTGTTTCATTTTTGGGACAATTATAGGAAAAATCGATATCATTAAGAATAAGTGGGCGCTCGCCCTCTGCTCTGTTCTCACTGTCATTATGTCATTAATGATGTCTTTAGGCATCTGTTTAAGACTGGGCTTTAATCCCACAATTAATTCCACTCACATTCTTCCATATATTGTCATAATAATCGGTTTGTATTTTGTTTTTTAATTAACAATTTTAAAGCAAAATCTATTTTTAAATTAAAAATGACATTTTGCTGTCAAATACAGGTCTGGAAAATATGTTAGTACTGACAAAGTCTGTTGTCTCGACGCCCGCACACCTGGACATCAAAGTAAGAGTAGCGCAGGGCATGAGCCGCGAGGGCTGGTCTATCACCAAAAATCTCATGACAGAGATAACACTTTTGACGTTTGGATTCTTCACATTTGTCCCAATGATTCAGGTCTTGATTTGATTTGAATTATTGCTTTTTAAACACTTGTGGTTATTTTGTTTTTTAATTAAAATGTATTTTTAATGCCCTATTATATAGAAATTATGTCTTTTCGCAACCGTCGGACTGCTCACTGATTTCTTCATTCAGATTACGTTTTTCGCGACCGTCTTATCCATTGATATCCAACGACTTGAGGTTTGAAACGATTTATTTAACTGATTAACTATTTTTGTCGACTTATTGTTAATAATGGTCTTGAAATTTGTTATCAATTTTTCACATAAATATTCCCATTGAATGCATTATGCATTTGATTGAATTGAAGGTCGAATTCTAGAGCAGTGTTTCGCACTGTATTTAAAACCGGTTTTAAACGTTTTATAGATTAGTTTTAAAGTTTTCTGTTAATCATTTGATAGTTTATTGAATTCATTAAACGAATAGTTTATTCAATTAATTATTCAAAACATTCAAATTATAGCTCAACACTAAACCCAATACTAATGGCTACACAAACGCACAGAAGACCCACAGCCGTCATAACTCATCGACGGACAACGGGTAACACATTATTGCAATGAGTTGTATCAAAAAGGGTCTCATTTATTAACATTTCACTTGTATTTTAAGCGTAATATTCGGGAACCGTTCGTATGGCCAGAATGTGTTCGCGCGGCCATCGAAGCCGAGTCACTTCAAAATGCCTAAACGGCTGCGAGTGGTCTACTTTGTGGCGCGAACTCGTTTAGTGCAAAGGGCTCTCATGTTAATACTGATCGGTTGGATCTCGTTTTTGGTCTACAATTTTGAAATTATCGAGAATTTGAGCCACGATTCGCAGCACATGTCCGGCAACCCTGTGTTCCAGTTCGCCAACTTTGGCACCAATCAAATGCTGTCTAAAAAACCACAAAATGCTCAACAAATGAACACAAAGGCGGCCAAAGCCGAAGAAAAGCTGGACAACAATCCGAATATTACGTCAGACGCGAGTCAAACGCATCGTTTGGTTCATCACAATCCAAATCTGTGGAAATCGTTGTCATCGCAGCACTGGTCGGCACTCTTTAACTACTATAACCTCTCGCTGTCCGGCAATTATATATCGATTTTGCCGCCAATACTTCTCTCCATACCCGTCAGCCCGGAGTCTGCGGCCCAGAACCGCAATCCCGCTGAAAGCGATCCGCAAATCTTTCGGCAATTTCTCTCTCCTCCGGGTCTCCAACCCATTGATCCCAACGACGAGAGAGACGACAATTTCAATTTGAACGCCGACTCGTTTCCGCACATTCCTCTGCAGTGGACTTCAGCCGAAATCTTTATAACAGTGGCCCTATCGGTGCCGAGTATTATATTTATTATATACGTGTTTGTATTGATGTATCGATGCATGTGTTCACGCAATTACGCCGAATGGCGTGACTCGTGGTCGCAAACGCTGCGGTTCGGCAAAAGTCAGTCCAACAAAAAGGGGACTTCGAGTTACGACTTGATTGACTTCGAGACGAATCCCATTCGACTCCAAGACCACGAACAAGAGCTCAACCATTTGGCCTCCAATAGTGACACACCATTTGTTGTGTCGGTCTGTATGGACGGAGACTTAAAGATATGGGACGTCCTGTCGGGCGAGTGTCACACGTATATCAAACGCTTTACGACTGAACAGCCGGTTGTGCGCAAACGTTTCCAACCAACCCATAAGCCGAGCGGCAGTTTCTCGTCCGACTCGACGTACGGCTCTTCGCCCGGAAATGCGAACGACTTCTTAACCGAAATACCGAACAATAATTTGAATCAAATTTCGGAAAAGCAATCGCCACTCACTCACCGAACAATGAGCGCCGGCAGTAGTGATGGCTATAACTTCACGCCATATCTGAATCAACAAACGTCTTACTCTTCACAAAACCTTTTAAATGAATTAATACTTAACGCAGCGGTCAATACGGATGAGATGTCCGCCAATGAGCTCTCAGTTAATCTCAAAACTGAATCCACGCTTCTGTTTGAGCCCATCTGGTGTTCGGATATATTCGGGAAACTGGTTATCACCGGCTGTCGCAACGGTCGCATTGAGGTCTGGGACGCCCTCAACGGTAATCTCTGTTTCTATTACGAAGAGAACAAGAGTGGTGTGACTGCTCTCAAGACGACAAACACCAAACTAGTGGTCGCGCGGATTAACGGCACGCTTGAGATATTCAATTTGGAAATCATTAATGGCTTTAGTGTTAGCATATCGTCGACGTCTCAGTCGAGTCCACATCCGGCCAAAGACCAAGTGATTCGCTATAATCTCATGCATTCAATACGCGCTCACTTACAGCCAATCACAGCACTTCAAATTGAATCCTCAAACATAATAACCGGTGGTTTGGACCACGTGTTGAAGGTATACCGTATGGACACCGCTAACTGTCTGTTCACACTTCACGGCCATTGCGGGGGAATTACTGCCATTCATATCGATCAAGTAATCCATATTTCACACCACTTTGTAATTTTAAATATTTATTTCTAATCTATTTTTGTATCGACAGTATTCTCCGTCGACTGCGATCAGTGGCTGTCAAGTCGGACAGTTGTGTGTATGGGATGTGTTGACCGGCACGTGTGTCTTCAGCCTAGAGGCACATATGGACGCGTCGGTGACGGCAGCCATAGCCACTCCACTCTATTTCATCAGTTCGGGAACAGACAATCGCATTTGCATTTGGGATAAATATTCTGGTATTTTATTTTTATTTTTAAATTACCGTTAAGTATATGTAATTAATTGGTGTTTTATAATGAATTTACAGGTCATTTGGTTCATTGCATACAAAATGTAAGTTAAATTTGAAAATGTAATGATTTTGAAATGATTTTAACCATTGGTTGTAATGAATAGCATCACAGCTTCTCTAAGGAAATGCTTTTACTGACGCCTAATATATTGGTGACCGCAAGAGAAGATCATTTGGTTCTGTTTGACATCTCGGAAGCGGTTCCCATCAGAATCGTCGAATTGGACGCCAATTGCGATAAACAAAACTATATTAAAAACCTTAAAATGTCGTCTCAAAGTCGGGCCGTTGTCTGCGATTACGGCAAACAGTTATGCGTTATTCACTTTCCCAGCGTTACTGAAAAAAGCGATTAATTTATTTTTAACTTAAAAAATATATATTTAAATATAATTCAAAGTTTGAGATCAAATGAGAGATTGAAATGAATTTTTGCGAAATGTTTTTATTCTCAGAAACTAGTCATTCAACACAAGTAATACATATTAAGGATCCAACGAATTAATAATTAAATTATTACTATTATTATTAAACTATTATTTTAAATACCGTTTGACTGACAATTCATTTGAAAAACGAAACAATAATTTTGTTGTAAATATGGAGTAAAGAGTTTTTAATTTTTTAAGGTTAAAAATGTAATTATTTTTATGTTAAAAATATTTATCTTTAATATAAATAAAATAAAAGATTTATTTTGTCAGAAAATTTGTTGGTTTTGTCTTTACATCCGATTCGCTTCCTTTCAAAATATATTCTTCTCTCACATATATTGAGCCGAGATTTGCGTGAAATTCAATACTTATTTTTATGATTACTATTTAAAATGTAATTAATTATGTTTTTATTGGTTTTGCTAAATGTTTGACACATAATATGAATGCATTTTGATTGCGAAAACACATTGCTGTCGAAGATTACAAGAATTTGATTGTTTGAATCGTAATTGTGTTGTCTTTAATTGTTATAGTGATTGATATGATTATATGCATTGCTAGGCTATGGGCCGTTATCTTCACTATTAATGCACTTTTTCGTTGATAAGTTGAGTCAACAAATGATTCAAATTATGTGCAAATAAGAGCACAATTTATATGCAATCGATCACTACTACTGATGGCTGAAGTGAATTACACGGCGAGTACGGCGTCGGCCAACGGCGACGAATCACTAGAACCGTCGGTCGAGATATTAGACCCGAGAATAACCAGTAGTTCCCACTCTAATGACAAACACAGCGAAGATAGCGATGAGGAGAAAAAGGTTTCCAACCGCCCTTCAAGTAAGAAATGCCTTCAAAATTATATATAAACTTTTAAATCAGATTCTTTAGCTTTATTGCAATGATTTATGTAAATATTTTCTTTATAAAAAACATTATAATTAATTAAAAACTATATAAAGCTTTTTTAACGAATGTTTATAATATTTAAAAATAACTACAGAGTTATAAATAGAAGTAATGTTGAAATTAAATAAAAAGATTTAATTAAATTAAAATTTTCACTAAATAAATGTCAATTTTAATAATTAGGGGACGCGTGGAGACAACAAAGATTACCGGCGTGGCAGGTATGGTGTCATCATTAGACATATATTTCAAGCAAAATTAAATTAATATACTTAATGTCTGATTACAGCCAATATTAACAGCGGACACAGTATTGCCGGCATTTTTTCTTCTCGCAATTGCTTTAATACCGATCGGCGCCGGACTTCTCGTTTCGTCAAATTCTGTAATTTTTATTATATTTTTTGAACAATTTTCAAAATTAAATTTACATTCATTTTTAGGTCAAAGAATTTGTATATGAATACACTGACTGTATTTCAACTGATGGTAAAACTAAATGCTCTGATATTATTGGGAAAAGCATGAACGGGACATTTAAATTTGGTAAAATTATTATAATTATAGAATTTTATTAAAATACTTATAAACAATGAATTAAAACTATTCAACACATTTATAGACTTAATTGTTGCTTAACTTTACTATTGAATACTCATAGGGAAAAAGAAGTGGAGGGGAAATAAGATAAAATGCGAGTGCATTCACAACTTTACGATAGACACTCCATTTGATGCCCCGGTATTCCTATACTACGGTCTCTCCAACTACTATCAGAACCACCGGCGATACGCCAAGTCCAGAGACGACACCCAATTGGCCGGCAAACAGGCCAACCATATCAAAGATTGTCATCCATATGATTACGATAAAAACAATCGACTTATAGCGCCCTGCGGTGCGATCGCTAACTCCCTGTTCACCGACACGTTTCAGCTCTATTATCGGCCGACTGACAGCAACTATGAACCCATAGATTTGGCCCAAACGCACATCGCTTGGCCCACAGACAAGGAGTACTTGTTTAACAACCCGAAGGACGGCTTTGACAGCAAAATAGGACGTCCGCCCCTTTGGACGAAGAATATCGACGACTTGGACCCAAACCATCCCATCAACAACGGCTACGACAACGAGCACCTGATTGTGTGGATGCGAACGGCAGCCTTTCCCACGTTTCGCAAACTGTGGGCGCGTATAGACCACGACCAGAATATGCTGTGGAGGCAATCACTACCGGCCGGCAGTTATCAACTCAAAATCCAATACAGTAAATAAATTCTGTGATGTTTTGTTGTGTTTAAATATCAAATTATTGATTTAATGCAGACTATAGGACCCACTTTGACAGCTATACGGCCGGAAAATATGTGTATATATCCAACACCTCATGGCTTGGGGGCAAAAATGTATTCCTCGGCTACGCTTATATAACCGTCGGTACCATTTGTTTTATATTATGGCTTTCATTCCTGATATTAGTCAAGAAATACGGACAAAAGTGAGTACAAAATGTTTAAAACATTGTTATAAGATTCCTTAACAAAAACTGAAACCAATTGTAGGCCCAAAGATATTGTGGACATCGGAAAGAAGACTAAATATATGTTCACAAAACCCAAACCCGTAGACTCTGGCGATGAATCGACACAACCGTTGAACACAAACAATCCTACGGTTACTTTCAGTCAAAGCCAACCATAATATACATTAGTTTAATCAAAATTCATATTATAATACTTTTTAATTAATTAATTTTGTTTTGCATTTTTGTTAGAAATTTTATGACAAACTTTTTTATATTTATTTATTATAATTTGTAAATTAATTTATAAAAAGCAATATTTATGATTGCATTGAATGGTATTTACAAAACATTCTAACTTTAATTAGTAAAGCATTAAAGCGTTGCTATACTAACGGAACTAAAAAATCAACAAAAACTTGTATCGATTTCTCAGTTGTCTGTATTAGTGATATGTTTGCCATAAAATTGGCAAAAACTCAAAGATAATGTCAAAGAATGAAAAACAGGAGCCGTTATGGCAGGACCGGGACGTCCGGTTTGACGTACCTCTGAATGAGCTGAAGTTCAGAAGTGGCGAACGGATTGTGGAGTACTTCACGAAAGTGGAGGACACGAAAGGCAACTCCGGAGAGGAGGGAAAGATGACGATCACTAATCTGCGAATGATATGGCAGTCGAAGGTTAAGCCGCGGATCAATCTGTCCATCGGTTTGGGATGTGTGTCGAGTCTCACGAATCGCACGATTCACACAAAACTTCGTGGAAAACACGAGGCGTTGTATATCATGACGAAAGTGAACGGAACTCGTTATGAGTTTATATTCACACAATTGGAGGCTGAGGTCGGAGTGCAGTTCGGAATGGTTGAGCTCATCAGCAAAATATGTAGAGCCTATTCCTCAACTAAACTCTTCCGTGACCTCAAACTCCGTTCGGCGATCATCACATCCAATGGCAAACAGCTTAAAGTGTTGCAATCGGAGACCATTTACAACAAGATCAACGGCGTGTGGAACTTGTCCAGTGACCAGGGTAATTTGGGCACAATGCACTTGACCAATGTGCGCGTCGTATGGCACGCAAACATGAACGAGCTCTTCAACATCTCGTTGCCGTACATTCAGATCAACAACATTAAGGTGAGGGAAAGCAAGTTTGGCGTCGCGCTGGTCATCGAGTCCACCGAAGGCAGCGGCGGTTATGTCCTCGGCTTCCGTATAGACCCGCCCGAGAGAATGAACTCCGTTTAAAATACCGGCCGAACGCCAGACAGTGATGTGGTCCGCGACGTGGCCTCAAGAGGTGAAGTCATTGGCCGCCCATTACATGAAAGACTACATTCAGATCAATGTCGGCGGCAGTGATCTGACGGCCAATAAGAATATCGAACAGTTTGTGGAGATTTGCGAAGATTTGGACAAAAAGAATAAACTCTTCGAAGTGTTGAACAAAATCAGAGCCGATATCCCGGAGAACAAGACTCTGATCTTCGCCCGAACCAAACAGTCCGTCGATTATCTGACCCGACATTTGCAGTCGAAAGGCTTGCGTGCCGTCAGTATTCACGGCGACAAAACACAGGCCGTTCGCGACCGAGTCCTCGCAGGTTTGCATTGGCTTTGCTTTGCTTTCCACTTGTATTCAAATTATAACTATAATTTCTATTCAACAGACTATCGCAGCAATCAGTTCCCAATACTAGTGGCCACAGATGTTGCCGCCCGTGGATTAGGTATGTATTGATTCCCACAATGTGTTGGTTGTGTTAATCTTGTGTTGCGTTTGTGTTTAGATGTGGACGACATTAAGTGTGTTATAAATTACGATTTTCCCAACACTTGCGAAGACTATGTCCACCGCATCGGCCGCACCGGTCGTCGCGATAAGAAGGGAACCGCTTATACTTTCCTGTCGATTTAGATGTGGACGACATTAAGTGTGTTATAAATTACGATTTTCCCAACACTTGCGAAGACTATGTCCACCGCATCGGCCGCACCGGTCGTCGCGATAAGAAGGGAACCGCTTATACTTTCCTGTCGTCAGAAGACGCCCGACTCGCCAACGAATTGATTGATGTTTTGCGCGAATCCAATCAAATAGTGAGTCCACAGCTCTTAGAAATGGCCGAAATGTCGCGCAATATGAAAGACGTGAACAAACGTCGTCGCTATGGCGCCGCCGGTGGCGGAGGAGGCGGTGGTTATGGAAACCAAGGCTTCAGAAGCAGAGGCGGCCAACAGAACAGAGGAGGATATGGCGGACAAATGGGCGGCCGTTTCGATGGACCCAATCGTCGTACGCAAGAGTACCAAAACTTCTACGGACAGGAATCGCAGCAGTCATACGATTACGGATCAAACTATAGACCAAACTATAGACAGAATTATCGTTCAAATGACGCCAATTCTTACGGCAATTCTTATGGTTCTAGTCGTACGCCATATGCCTCAAGAATCCCCACTCATGAGGACTATTGACTCTCCGTTTAGCGAATATTTAGTTTTTTATATTGTATTTATTATAAATTCAATACACAATTACTTATTACTAAATTGTATTATAAGTCAGAATTCATACAAACAAATATTGTAGTTATTATTATAATTGTTAAACTCTTTTCTGTGTCCATACAAACACTTATTTTAATTATAAATTCAATACACAATTACTTATTACTAAATTGTATTATAAGTCAGAATTCATACAAACAAATATTGTAGTTATTATTATAATTGTTAAACTCTTTTCTGTGTCCATACAAACACTTATTTTGTAATACAAGTACTGTATTGTAAACTACATTTAAAAATCCGTAATAAACTTTAATTAATACATTTGTAGTTTAAAAAAAGTGATTTCAAAGCAATTGAGAAACTATTAGATAATAATGTGTTTAATCATTGAGATTATGAAATAACAGTAAAGTTATGTTAAAGAGTTAGTGAGAGAGAGAGATTGAGTGTGTGTTGTGTGAGTGAAGTGACTCCACCTGTGGTTAGTATAGAGTGAATGTGCAGTGAATGCATTGGATTGAGTGAAGCGATTGGTATTTGCAGTAAAGTGTAGTTTCAGGCAGTCTTTGGCCGCAAAATGTTGTCACTCTATTCAAAGGCGTGTAAATCACTGGTCATTGCGACCAAACCTTTCGTGTCGGTCACCGCTCAGACACCGCACAAACTCATTCCCATCGTCTCCACAACCAGTAAGTGATCGCCGGATCAATTGATCCCAATTATGACCGCTTTATACAATATATACATTGCAAACACACTGTATCTCCATTTGTGTTGCCTTTCCATACAATCGTATTACGAGTTTTGTTCAATGCTTTGCATTCATAGCGAATGACAAATGTCTACAAACTCTACACAACACTCGCCATCCNATACATTGCAAACACACTGTATCTCCATTTGTGTTGCCTTTCCATACAATCGTATTACGAGTTTTGTTCAATGCTTTGCATTCATAGCGAATGACAAATGTCTACAAACTCTACACAACACTCGCCATCCGAAGGACACCAAAAGGACATCGATTTTCAACAATTAATACCCGTTTTTAACACATGTTTTGCATTTGATTTACCATTTATTTCGTAAATCTATTAATTGATTATCATTTTATGCAAACCATTGAACATAAAAACCCGTAGATCTTTGTTATCTCGATATATATAACATACAATTGCATGCATTACTCGTGCGGTTATCTCTTCACTGATGAGATCTAATCCAATGTTAAATCCGTATTTGAATGAATAGATCAGAAACGATGGGCGTCTTCGCAGCCGCAGACGGCGAGTACAGTGAAACCCGGACGCATTGTGGCCGTCATCGGAGCCGTAGTGGACGTGCAGTTTGACGAAGAGTTGCCGCCGATTCTCAACGCTCTGGAAGTGGTCGGCCGTAAGCCTCGGCTTGTCTTAGAAGTGGCCCAACATTTGGGTGAGAAAACGGTGCGAACGATAGCTATGGACGGAACGGAAGGTCTGGTTCGCGGCAATGAAGTGCGAGACACCAACTCTGCAATTACTATACCCGTCGGTCCCGAGACTTTGGGCCGTATTATGAATGTTATCGGAGAACCAATCGATGAGAGGTTTGTCTTCATTTTTGTACTGATTAGCAAAGTATTGTTTGATTGATAATAATGTTGGTATCGATTAGGGGTCCGATTGACTCCAAGAAATTCGCTGCCATTCACGCGGAAGCGCCCGCATTCGTGGACATGAGTGTCGAGGCGGAGATTCTGGTGACGGGAATCAAAGTCGTGGATCTGTTGGCCCCGTATTCAAAGGGTGGAAAGATCGGTCTCTTCGGTGGCGCCGGTGTCGGCAAAACTGTGTTAATTATGGAACTCATTAATAACGTCGCGAGAGCTCACGGAGGGTACTCTGTCTTCGCCGGTGTCGGTGAACGAACTCGAGAGGGAAATGATTTATACCACGAGATGATAGCGGGTGGTGTCATCAGTCTTAAAGATAAATCATCGAAGGTTTGTTCAAATGATTTTTGACGATTACTATGGTTTATGTTAACGCATTTGTCTAACGATTTGACGATTAGGTGGCGTTAGTCTACGGCCAGATGAACGAACCGCCCGGTGCCAGAGCGCGAGTGGCGCTCACAGGTCTCACAGTCGCCGAGTATTTCCGCGATCAAGAGGGTCAGGACGTACTGCTGTTCATCGACAACATCTTCAGGTTCACTCAGGCCGGCTCCGAAGTGTCCGCCCTTTTGGGTCGTATCCCATCGGCCGTCGGTTATCAGCCAACGCTGGCCACAGACATGGGTACTATGCAGGAGAGAATTACGACCACCAAAAAGGGTTCGATCACATCCGTGCAGGCGATCTACGTGCCCGCCGACGACTTGACAGATCCGGCGCCGGCCACCACTTTCGCCCATTTGGACGCCACCACTGTATTGTCGAGAGGTATCGCCGAATTGGGTATCTACCCGGCCGTCGATCCCCTGGACTCGACCTCTCGTATTATGGACCCCAACGTTGTCGGTCACGAGCACTACAACGTCGCCCGAGGCGTACAGAAGATCCTTCAGGTATGGCCGAGACATTGGTTTCCCTAATGTGCTTACGTTTGAGTGACTAATTGAATGTCTATCGCAATACAGGACTACAAGTCTCTTCAGGACATTATCGCCATCTTAGGAATGGACGAGTTGTCCGAAGACGACAAGTTGACGGTCTCGCGGGCGCGTAAGATCCAGAAGTTCCTGTCGCAGCCCTTCCAAGTGGCCGAAGTGTTCACTGGACAACAGGGAAAGTTCGTGACACTCGAACAGACCATCAAAGGGTTCAAAGCTATACTAAACGGAGAGTACGACCACTTGCCCGAAGTGGCCTTCTATATGGTCGGTCACATCGAAGAAGTGGTCGAAAAGTCCGAAAAACTCGCGAAAGACTTATAAATTATAGCTTTTTATTAATTAAGTGACACTTTCCTCCGATTTTAGCTCTTTTTTCAATTGTTTTCTTCGACCGAATAATTATTGGAAAAAATTTAATTAAAAATTAGATTTTGTTTTAAAAGATCTTATATTAAATGTTAATTTAATTGCAATCAAATTCATTAGAAGTGGTCATAGAATGTAATAATTATTATAAATTTTCAATCGATTAAACGCTCGGTTAAACACTTTTAAAGTCATTTTGTTCGCTGTATTGTCAGCCCTGAGGTATGACATGCCATAAGGACTCGAGAGTGAAGCCGTCTTTGATCTTCTCGATGGCTAAACCCAATTGCGGACAATAGACAACATCGCTGTTCTTGGGCTGCGCCTCATCGGCCAAATAGGCGGCGATGGCGTCGCTCTGATGGGCGGCGTTGTGTTCGTCGATCTCTTTGTGGTCGCTCTCTATACTCGTAATGACCGCCGAATTGGCGTCGATATCATTGAAGGCGAGACCCGATCCGCCCTCCAAATAGGTCTCAACGCCTAAATCAGGTTTACTCGCGTGAATGGCGAACAGATTGCAGAGTTCGCTGTAAACGGAGTTCATTCTCTCGGGCGGGTCTATACGGAAGCCGAGGACATAACCGCCGCTGCCTTCGGTGGACTCGATGACCAGCGCGACGCCAAACTTGCTTTCCCTCACCTTAATGTTGTTGATCTGGATGTACGGCAACGAGATGTTGAAGAGCTCGTTCATGTTTGCGTGCCATACGACGCGCACATTGGTCAAGTGCATTGTGCCCAAATTGCCCTGGTCACTGGACAAGTTCCACACGCCGTTGATCTTGTTGTAAATGGTCTCCGATTGCAACACTTTAAGCTGTTTGCCATTGGATGTGATGATCGCCGACCGGAGTTTGAGGTCACGGAAGAGTTTAGTGGAGGAATAGGCTCTGCATATTTTGCTGATGAGCTCAACCATTCCGAACTGCACGCCGACCTCAGCCTCCAATTGTGTGAATATAAACTCATAACGAGTTCCGTTTACTTTCGTCATTATATACAACGCCTCGTGTTTTCCACGAAGTTTTGTGTGAATCGTGCGATTCGTGAGACTCGACACACATCCCAAACCGATGGACAGATTGATTCGCGGCTTAACCTTCGACTGCCATATCATTCGCAGATTAGTGATTGTCATCTTTCCCTCCTCTCCGGAGTTGCCTTTCGTGTCCTCCACTTTCGTGAAGTACTCCACAATCCGTTCACCACTTCTGAACTTGAGTTCATTGAGAGGTACGTCAAACCGGACGTCCCGGTCCTGCCATAACGGCTCCTGTTTCTCATTCTTTGACATTATCTTTGAGTTTTTGCCAATTTTATGGCAAACATATCACTAATACAGACAACTGAGAAATCGATACAAGTTTTTGTTGATTATTTAGTTCCGTTAGTATAGCAACGCTTTAATGCTTTACTAATTAACGTTAGAATGTTTTGTAAATACCATTCAATGCAATCATAAATATTGCTTTTTATAAATTAATTTACAAATTATAATAAATAAATATAAAAAAAAGTTTGTCATAAAATTTCTAACAAAAAATGCAAAATATAATTAATTAATTAAAAAGTATTATTATATGAATTTTGATTAAACTAATGTATATTATGGTTGGCTTTGACTGAAAGTAACCGTAGGATTGTTTGCGTTCAACGGTTGTGTCGATTCATCGCCAGAGTCTACGGGTTTGGGTTTTGTGAACATATATTTAGTCTTCTTTCCGATGTCCACAATATCTTTGGGCCTACAATTGATTTCAGTTTTTGTTAACAAATTTTATAATGTTATAACCATTTTGTACTCACTTTTGTCCGTATTTCTTGACTAATATCAGGAATGAAAGCCATAATATAAAACAAATGGTACCGACGGTTATATAAGCGTAGCCGAGAAATACATTTTTGCCCCCAAGCCATGAGGTGTTGGATATATACACATATTTTCCGGCCGTATAGCTGTCAAAGTGGGTCCTATAGTCTGCATTAAATCAATAATTTGATATTTAAACACAAACACAACAAAACATCACAGAATTTATTTACTGTATTGGATTCTGAGTTGATAACTGCCGGCCGGTAGTGATTGCCTCCACAGCATATTCTGGTCGTGGTCTATACGCGCCCACAGTTTGCGAAACGTGGGAAAGGCTGCCGTTCGCATCCACACAATCAGGTGCTCGTTGTCGTAGCCGTTGTTGATGGGATGGTTTGGGTCCAAGTCGTCGATATTCTTCGTCCAAAGGGGCGGACGTCCTATTTTGCTGTC